CAAACTTTACTGCTGGCACTATGCATTCTTCTTCCTATGCTCCAAACTCAGATTCATCCATCAGACTGACAGATAGTGAAACATGATTCATCACTCCAGAGAACCTTTTTAATCTCCAGAGTCCAGCAGCTGCTTGTTTTACACCACTCCAGCCGACACTTGGCACTGCGCATAGTGACCTTAGGCTTGTGTGCAGCTGCTCAGCCATGGACACCCATTTCATGTAGCTCCTGATTCACAGTTCTTGTGCTGATGTTCCTTCCTGAGGCAGTTTGGAACTGATGCAACAGAAGATATGACATTTTTACATGCTACATGTTTCAGCATTCTGCAGCCTCGCTCTAAGAGTTTATACGGTCTACCGCTGGGCTGTTGTTGCTCCTCGATGCTCCCATTTCCCAATAATAACACTTACAGTTAACCAGGGTAGACCTAGCAGGGTATAAATTTCACAGATTTACTTGTGGCATCCTATGAAGCTGCTACACTGTGCTCATCACTGTGCAGGAACTCCAATGGCCTGCACAGAGCCCTGACCTCAGTACAATGTTAGCAATAGGTGTGGCTGAAACACCTGAACTCAATAATTAGGAAGAGTGTCCACATACTTTTGGCCATATAGTGCATGTCACAACTTCACCATTATGTCATCGTGGTGTCTGAAAAAGCAGAGTTTACAAAAGCAGCATTTGGCAGATAACACCTTTTGGAATCAGCCTTTATAAATGTTTATGTAGGAGCTTATGTAGCCCTATGAACACTGCCCTGCAGTAAAGTGTTGCCTTTAAGTCTAATGCTGTTGTCATTCGAGTATTCATGCTAAAACAGTGCATGGCAAAAATAACAGCCTTAAGACAAGAGCAATTACCCTGCCATAAGTCTAAATCAAATGCAGGTTTTTCCAGCACTAATAGCCGCCTGAAAACAGAAGCCATCCACATGAGATTTTCTCACTCAGAACAATAAAAACACCCCCTTAACCTCACCTCCTCAGGCAAGGCCGAGCGTGTGCCAGGAAACCCAAACACCGGCCTTATCGGTCAACAGCCAGTTTGCTTGAGAGCCTCTTCCATTCTTCTGCTGTGGCATTTAAACAAATGAGACAAGCTCCCGGCGCAGCCTTCCCACGCTGCCTGGTTTAATTCATTTCCAATATGAAAATAAACCAGAGGCGACAAACTGGAGAGCGTGATCAAAGCCATCTCCCCCTGCATCGGGAGAAGAGGCCATTTCAGAATTGATTACGGACGGGCGTTTGTTTGCCGTGCGTGGCGTGTTGTTATCTCCCATTAAAGGACTGTGTGTGTGTGTGTGTGTGTGTGTGGATGCGAAACCTTCTCTGGGGACATAAATCACACACGCTGCTCTGTGTCAACTCTGTGGAAGAGCAATCAATTACATTCCAGTGGACAAAGAAGAAAAGGATCCACCTCGTCTCTCTATATTTAGCATATTTACTCCCTTAAAGTCACGCAGATCCAAAGGCGGAGGCCAAAACCTCTATTAAACACCTCTAAAGACTAATTTGAAAGACTCAATTCTCCATAAGGATTAATGAATGGATAATCGGTTAACTGCACATGGATGGAAAAACAACACAACAAAAAATACTCCAGCTTTGGGCTCCGATGTGGGCCTGCAGGCCCTTTTTGATAGCGCTGGTGAAAGCATAGGGAAAAAAATAGCAGAGGACTGACTTTCAACCTTTTATTTTCATTCAAAATAGTTGAAGGAAATTGATTGGTTTCATGTCAGATGGGTAAAAGAGTCTCCTGCAGATGAGCTAATGAGCTAACACAGCTAATCAGTACAACACAATGTTAATGAGGTCAGTGTGGTCAATGTGCCAACATGTTAGTTTGACATAAATATACTCTCACAGTTTCCAGTCCTAGCTAACATTAGCTAGAGTCACTGATTTAGCCATGTTAGCTATAAAGCTGCACAGCTTCTCCCATGTCAGCCACATCCTTAGCAATATATGCGCTCATGTTGAAGGGGAATTCCACCGGTTTTTCAAAATTTCTGCATTATTCCATTATGGTTTGGTGTGAAGTGGTTCACTGTAGAGCAACTTAGCAGCTCTGATTGTCTTTACAGTGGTGGTGACAAGAACCAGAAATGTCTACAACACAAACATAGCCATTTTATTTACTATCCAAAACCACCAGTGAACCTACACATCTTCAGAGTTTATATATAGGAAAGCTGATGATGGTGAAATAGTGGTAAATCTGAAAAAAATATGTTTTCTTTGGGGACTATTTTGCCTCACAACGCCCTGCATGCACCCCTCCACGATGAATGGGATTTAATGACATCTAAGGCCAAAATCTTATCGCAAAACAATCATAAAACAATTTTCCAGACATCAGGCTGTGTATTCATAACCATTTCATGTAATAACCTTCTGTGATGCTGCTCTTAGAGGCATTAAACTCTTCAGACATCTGGTTCCTGTCACCACCACTGCGAACGTTTCTGACTCTAGAACGGACTCTAGTTTCTCTAGAACAGATTGTTTCACATTAAACCACTCTGAATGACTTTGTTTACAACTTAGCCATTTAATTATGCAGAAATTTCGAAGGCACTCCTGTTTTGTAGTAGCAAAAACTTCCACATCCAAAGTGTTGCTGCTTTTTAGTCCTTTTGTGAAAAATTGCCTGCATATTTTCTGACTTCTTGTGATGAAATGTAATGAGTTCCTGAAAAGTGATTTCAGTATTAAATACTGGCACCTTGAGTACTTGATTAACTGAATACAGTACTGGACAAAAAATATGTCTTCAAAATAAAAGCTCTTCAGAATGCTCAGCCCATCTCTTTAACCTGCAATGAAATGTCTGCTAGTGTAAAAGAACACAGTCACTATTGAACATGGTTCACACAGCTATTTGTATTTTAACACAAGCTTAATCTACATATTAGCTTTACGTTCATCTGGCCTGGTTCTGGTTGTCTTTTGGCTGATTTATGGCACTGTCGGCTGTCTTCTGGGAAAGACATGGGCGAAATGATGGTGCCTCTGAAGGTTCTGGCTCAGTTATGGCCTACAGTCGGCTCACATTCGGCTGCAGGCATCTGGGCCACTTCAGGCCCGGTGAGCAATGTTGATTCTGGGCGGGTTCGGCAGCCAGATCTGTGCCGGAAAAACTGGTAGAATCACGCCGGATCTGGGCCAGAACTTATTTGCTAGGTGGGTTCAAACGCCTCTATTACACCCCTTTGCAGCAGCGCTATAGCAAATTTACAAATGTGCTTTGGTTGCACAGTCCAAACTATAGAAAATGTATATGTACGATTGTATAACACTCCAAACACATGTGGCAAAACTAGCTAGTAAAAATGCCCCAATATCTTAAGAGGAAAACTGATGCTGGCTAAATGTATGTCGTTAGAATGATACTCTTCCAAAAAGCTCAGCCTCCTCTCTGATCTATAATGAAACGGTTGCTATTGTAGGGAGTCATTATTTATCAAACATGTAGCCCCTAAAACACTTTGCAAAACAAGCTAGCTAGTACAAATGTCTCCTTTAGAGGAAAGCTGATACTGAGAATCAGCATTCTAATGATGAACGGGACAAAATTATGTATCTGGGTCATTCTACAGAAACGTCCACTTTTTTATCTGTCCATAGGTGTCACTGGTGTTACTGGTCCTCACTGGTGTTACACATAATAAAGGTAACACCAGAGACATTTTTAATGAAAAAATGCATTTTACAAAATGGCTGCAACAGAGCATCAAACCACATGTTGTCAATCAATATCTACTAAAATATGTAATTTAATCCATTTGGATTCTATTTTTTCACAGTTACCTCAGAATAAAGTCGGTCACACCAGTGACTTCAGCTAAAAGCTTCATATGAAATCATGAGCTAAATGAGAAAATCTCTGATAACTGAAAGACACAGTGGACTCACCATGTGCTTTTCTTCATAGATCCTCAGAAAACAGGTAAAAGGAAGTGATGTCATCAGTGTGATTTTTATTTCAAAATAAGAGATTTTTTGCTATGCAGTAACACCAGTGACACGACTCCTGGGGAACTTTCATTATATATTTTATAATATTTATTTGGCATTCGTTTCACTTAATTCATATATTTCATAGTCATGTATAGATTATTGCAGTTAAAATTGCAGAAAAACGTTTTTTACCTCAAAATATGGCCTCAGCCTTCACACATGACTGTGGGGATGAGCTCTTCTGTGATGCTTGGAATTCTAGATAATTGATTTAAAAACCAATATTGCTAAATTGAGGCTCAAAAAGATGTAATTGTTAAAATAATGTATTATTTTAAAATATAAATAAATTGTAACCCCAACATGTTTCTCAAGTGTAATATATCTGTAAACGCTAGGGACACAAAAATGGACGTTTCTCTAGAATGACCCATTTATGATGACGTTGTTCCGAAATGCCCACCCTGATCTACAACCCTGATCTTGCTATTGTAAAAGAACACAGTCGCTATCGAATATGTAGCCCCTTAAACACGCTCTGCCCCTCTACTACACACCTTTACAGCAGTGCTAATAATCTTACAAATGTGCTTTGTTTATGTTGGTTGACTCCATTGTGATTTTGCACCCTTTAGACTGCAGTGTAGAAGAAAGCCTTGAAAGTCAGTGAGCATTTCTTGAGAAAATTCACTGCATGTATCTGGATGAAGTGCAGCTGCAGACGTGCTGGCCTCTCAGAGACTAACGAGCTGCAGGTCTATTCAGTGACCCGAAGGCAGCAGCTCAGATTTACACACTAGCGTGGACAGATGAGCTGAAATGGGGGCCGTGCTGGGTCATCAGCCGGCGGGTCAAGTGCTCACTCAGGTGCGGAGATGTTCGCAAGATAGTGCAACCACCAATTCAGTGGGCAGAATGAGCTTAATATGGATCGTTTTCAATCTCGGAATGGTTTAATTTTTTAAGCCACGATTTTTCGAAGTCAGTTTTTCTGGAAGCAACAGCAACTCGACCACAAAGCTCGTCAAATATAAAACAATAATTTATTATTTCTCTCATTTTACAAGACATCAAATTGTGTTGCTAACTAAGGATTTGTTAGGCTGTGTTACTTTGCTTTGATACATGGAATCCTATACAAAAGGTACAAAAGGCTTTTGACTACAAATTGAAAGCCCAAACACTGTGTTTTCTTTCTCTTAAGGTTCCTGGTTCCTGGTTCCTGCGTCTCAAGTTCTAGCCGAGGAATTTGAGAAGAATAACTGATTATTTCAGCTAAACAGTGTCAAGGTCACCATTTTGTTGATAAAAATAAAAGAAAATCACAGAATGTACCTTTTAACAACACCACAAACAAATTTACAGTCCAACAAATTGAGAACTTGCTCTTGGATGATACATAATGCTTGACCTACTGAACAGCTGGAACACACGAAAGCTGTTTGTAATAAAACTTGAAAACTGAAAAACAGCACCTTTTCTTTAAAACCTGTAAAACAAAGTTGTTTTTAAATGTAAAACTGTCTTGCCGAAGTACTTTGTGTTGACCTTGAAGCTAAATACTTGTTTGTATTACTTTTAATAAGCAAGATGTATGCATGATAATTAAAATACTGATAAACATGACTTGTATAAAAAAAAATAAATGATGTTGGTGGTTGTTTACTTATGGCACATGATCTTTGCGCTGTTATCGTCTTTAAAATTGTTCCTTTATAACATATTATTCAAAAAAAGCAAGCACAAGGTAGAAAGCTTTAGAGAGCATACGAAAAACCAATTGTCATTTTTTCAAACACATCCTAAGTCCATCTCTGAGACTCCCCAATGCACCTTCTCTCAAACGCCAGTCATACAGTTCCTTCAGAAGAGGCGTTCCTATATCCTTATGTACAAACGTTGCCACATTGAACGAGGCAGGATACTATACCCCAGTCGGTAGTGTCCTATGTACAGCAGAGAGCGCCACCAGTAGCCACGTTCACACCGTGGTCACTGACAACAGCGAGTTGTACACCCGCGTGCCGTCCGGCGACTTTGTCCCGTGGGTGAGCAGTTCCTGGATCGTCATCCAGTTGTCGAAGATCTTCTTGTTTCGCTTTTTCATCATCTTCTTGTGGCTCAGTTCGATGATGTTGAGCTCCTTCTTGTCGTCGCTGCCCTGCTGCTCCTTGAGGCAGTCCATGCGACTCTGCTTCATGAACTCACGGCGCTGGCGCTGCTCCTTGGCGCGGACGGCGTGCTGCTTGCGCTCCTCCTTACTCCAGTAGCGGCCCATCTTTAGCTCACTTGCAGCGTCGTCGTCCGTGGTCATGCCACCACTACGCTCCTCACGGATGCGCATGGCGCGCTCTCGAAGCAGCCGGTCACGCACAGGTCTCTTGGTGATGTAGCGGGTACCGTCGCTGCGGATCTTCACTTTCCACTCCATCTTGGGCTCCAGGTCCGGAGCTGCGTCCCGGCACATGCTGGCCAGACTCATCTGGCTCTGGCCATACTCCACGGCCGACTTCTGCTGGATCAGCTGCATGTAACTCTGGTAGTGCCGGGCATGCGCTGGGATGTGGGCATGCTTGTAGGGCGAGCGTGGCTGGGCCTTGCGCTCTTTGGCCTCAGGCTGGGGTCCAGCTTCAGCCTCTTCAGAAGATGTGGGCCGGTTTCTGGATACCTCTTGGACAGGAGACAGGAGGGGCTTCTGGACTCTGGTGTTGGAACTCAATGCACCTCCTGTGCAAGCTTCTGCTGGTCCTTCAGCGGCCCGACGGAGGGAGTTGTCAGGAGAGAGTTCCAGGGTGAGTGGTGTGCTGCGGCAGCTCTCACCTGTGTTATAGGCACTGGAGCTGTCCTTGTCTGACTTCTCGGGCAGCTCGCTGATGTCGGCTAGCTCGTGACGCCGTGATCCATCCACGCTGGTGTTGTAGTTGCGAAAGCCGCTGTTGTGCAACATCCAGGGCTGCTGCATGCGATGCGCCCGCACAATGCTCAGACACTCCAGCTCGATGTTTCGCAGCTCTTCATTGAGGAGCTCGAGCTCCTTGTCCACTCCTTCCTCTCCTGCTCCTCCTAAGTCTTGCCCACTGGCTATGCCAAAGTTGGGCCAGCCCAAGCCCTGGTGTGAGCCACTGGCACCGCTCCTCACCTGGCACTTCAGCTCCAGCAACTCGCGGAAGCGCTCACATTCATCAGCCGGGAAGTCGCCCAGGAAGTCGGCATCGGGATAGTCGGCCGAGATGAAGGACTCGCTGCTGAAGGGCAGGTCGCTGCTGCCCAGTGTGTCCTGACTGTAAGCCAAGCGTCGGCGACTGCCCAGCGTGGTGGAGGCGCTGGTCTGGTCATCGCAGAGGTTCTCCTGCTCTGAACTCTCATCGTTGCGCGTGCTCTCGTCCGTGCGGCCCACACCGCTGTCCTTCTCATGCCGCTGTGACAGCAGCGTGGCTGTGTCCGTCGTACCTCCGTCCTCCTCGTGCTTCTTCTGACAACAAACAAGACATGAGTCCCGTCATTATGCACCCAAAGAAAGTGAGAAAACAAGATATTCTGAAAGGCATCACTGACAGCAGATGGAGAAACGAGGGCATGTGCAGCCTTCAAACGTTCCATCTCAAATAAACAGGCTCTCCATGAGAAGCTGCTAATACCCACTTGCTAAGGTCTGTATTATCTAGGTGCTTCCGTCTGTGACACATATTACCAGCCACTGCATCTTTTGAGCATTTTTGGGTAGAGTAGGACAGCTGGGAGAGGAGGACAGAGCCTATGGCCCAACTCTCCATATGTGACCTAACAAACACTTGCTAAAACTGGCTAGCACTGCTCCAGACCACCTGGACAAGAGGACCTAAAGAAACTGAATCATCCTTCCCACCCAATGAGCGCATGGCCAGTTCTGCTTCCATGGACTCCTGCCCACAGACTCCTCAATCAAAGTAGCCTCCCAGCGACAGGACAACTAAACTCCAGCAGCAGTGGAGATCCAGACAGAATGGCACAGCATATATTCAAGTAACAAAAGATATGGCTTGAGTGTCTTATCCAGTCATCAGATGAGTGACAGGGACATTTCATAATATGGCTGACTGATACTCTGGATGACTCAGTGGAGATGGATTGATATGCCTTCTGATGGACTCTGACAGATGTCACTGTGATGCACTGCCTCACCTGTTCTAGCATGCTGGCAGTGAACTGCATGGCCTGATGATGCTGCTCCTCCAGCATGTCCATGTGCAGGTCATCCAGGAAATCGTTTCTGTCGTCGTCCATCCATCCCTCATCAAGCTGTACCACGAAAGAATTGGGACAGGTTGGTAATCTCAGTCAAGAAACCTAACAAGTCCTGCAAGTAACTGACACATCTCTGCTGTAATTAAAACACAAACTTTGTTTCCAGCTTCTACAATTTGTGAACACTTCAGGCAAATGTGGTAGGAGTGAAAATGTTACAACTTACTCCAAAGGTGGGGTTAACTGTAACGGATAGAGGGGCAAGTTCAAGTATGTCAAACTGGGGACCTTCCGGGCCAAACCGCTGCGGAGATCAGCGTTTACCCTCATCTAACACTCTGAATTCAGTTCATGAAGGCCTTGCTAATCAGCTGATGAGCTAAATCAGGTGTGTTTAATGAGGCAGTACACTGAAGTCTGCAGTGTTTTGGCCCGCCAAGACTGAATCCTGACACATGTGGGTTAGTTGTAGCTAAAAAGTCTATGCAAATATAATTCAATATAATTCTATGTTGTTGGAACATAAATACTTAAAACATTTGCATAAAAATAAATATGATTAGTGAAAGGAAATTGTGTCACATTTATTTTAGACCAGAAAGTAGAAGGGCAATAAACCAGCAGGACAAAACTGAAATATATTTTATTTAACGATATGCACACTACATCTTTCATGAATCTGTGAATAAAACGTTCCAAGACATGAACTATTTTACTGTTTTGAATTTCTATGGAGGAGTATGGACACTGTTAAGCCCCCAAATGTGGAGGCTGCACTTTCACCTGGTTTGCTCTCACTATGAGTTATTTATATATTTATGAGTTGTTTTTCTGGTCTCCCAGTGGGCACAGCTCTCAGCGAGGGACTAAGTCTAAGAATTCAGCATAGCGGCACTTCCAGGGTGTCCAAGCTACTCGCATGGCCGGCCGCGGTGTGACGTGGACAGTCAACTTCCGGCTTTCCTGAAGTTTGGCATGAAAAATCCAGAGGGGTGCCGCTGGGATTCTGAGGAGCAGTGGCAATGTAAGTTTTTGGTCGGGGTCCAAGCACCTCTTCAAAATTGAAGAATCCCCTTCCTTGAGGGATTCTCTCAAACAGCCACCTGGGCGAATTTTTCGACTTAATCTCCGACGGATGGACTTTTTACCACTATTTCGCTGTGAAACAGCCACCTGAGCGAACTGTTGGGACTTAGTCTCTGGTGGTTCAAAATGGTGCTATTTTACAGACAACAAGAAGGTGATTAAAATAACACAGGGGTGAACTCTGGGAGTTACACACAGAACTTGGTGATTAAGGGTGAATCTTGAGAAATACGTCTGATTGCTGTGAAAATTCACAGAGGATGTTGCTATGGGAATGTAAGAGAATGACTAAAGCACACAACCTGAACCTGTTTGACTACATGAAACAAAACTGTGTTCCAATTTTCCCTGCATTAGTTTGTGCCCTGTTCTTCCCTATTGATGGTTTAGAGCTGTATCTTCAAGGTTTTCATGCCTTTATAAGTAAATTATGACAGTATATGTCACAGTTTTGTTACCTGTATCTCTGGTCGAGCCACTAACAGGCATACATTCTGGTTCTCCTCACTCGTAAGAAGGGCCACCGCCTCCTCCCGATTCTGCACCTCTATACCGTTAATCTGTCCAGCGCACAGAGAGACAACTTACATTGCAGCCTGGATGTTACAACAAACTGGATTCATGTCAAGCAGACGTCTCCAGTATCCATCTATCCTAGAACTAACCTGGATGATTCTGTCCCCCTCCCTGATTCGCCCGTCTCTTGCAGCAATGCTGTTTGGATCAATCTGTCGAAAGAAGGAAATTGGGTCACTCCACAGCAATTAAATACAATTACACAAAAAGGGAGAAAAGAAGCAGCCTTTTGATCTTGATGCCTCTTATGTGGGTAAGTATTCATTTTCCAAACTAAGCCCTCGGCAGACATGCTGAATACATTTCCAAACGTAATGATCATAATCTTAAACATACGGCACAATTTACAGACTGTAATATGGCACAAACAAATCTCTTGTCAGTGCATTTTCCATCCCTAATTCAAAAAGATGCTGGTGGTTATGGTGATAATGAAATAATGAATGAAGCACTACATAAATAGCATCCATTATTTTCCCCAACGTCTGTCTCCAAATACGATATCAGGGAGACTTACCAGACAGATAAGACACACAGATGGATTGTTATAGAGGGAGAGACATAAAGAGCGCAGCAGAGGGAGGGAAGCAAAGATCATTTACCCACAATGTACTTTCAGTGCCTACCTCGCTGACGTAGATGCCAGTTTCATCCTCATCATCAGTTCTGTAGCACACAGTCAGACCCAGCTTGTCCTGGATGTTGGTCCTGTACAAATCGACCTCCTGTAGAGAGAGAAAAACCCAGGGTTACATTTAGAACTGCTGTATATTACCATTGATGTCATGTGATCTGAATGTAGGGTATATATATATATATATATATATATATATATATATATATATATATATATATATATACATACACACACACACACACACACATATATATATATATATATATATATATATATATATATATATATAAAGATGTATGCAGACTGTAGAGCTTAGATATTTACAATATTTATGTTATCATCTATTTAAACCCAAGACATTATTAGAGACAGTGATAAGCTAAATATATACAAAATCATCATTTATAGGGTTCTTCCTATTGGGAGGCTAAATTTAGACTTGTGAAGGTATACTTTGTATTTTTTTCCAATGTTGGTTTTATTTATTTTAAAGTGAGGTTTTATCATGAGTTTAATTTTAATTGTAATTTAAATAAAAAAACCCTTTATTTGAAGTTTTTTGTGTTGTCTCACATTTCCATGTTTTACTCTGTAGGCAGAGCCTTATTTTAGCCACTGCTCACATTTCTGAGCAGGAAGTGAGGCTGCATCCCTGTCCCCAGTTAGATCCCACTTGGAACATAAAGAACTGTCACTACCGAAACACACTGTTTCTCCAATTAAGTGAACTTTGATGTGTTTTTAATGAAAAATATTCGAATTTTCTGTGTGAACAGCTGTTCAAAGCTGTGTTTGCTGGTCATGTACTGGCTGCGTTTTTGAGTTCTGCTCATAATTAGATAAAATTACCATTAACGAAACACCACCACTGTAATATTTGGAAGTTTTGGTAGTGACAAAATGGAAAGTCTAATCATTTATTTTATTACAGTTAACATAATTAAGGTATAGTGTCACTCAGAGAAAAAGGATTTTAGACTAAAATCCAAATTAAAAGTCTAAAATGTGTTTTCAACTCTGACTTTGAACCAATTTGAACCAAAAAATGTATATTCTGCTACAAATTTTTTTTGCCAGTCTGGTGTCCAGGAATCATTCGGTTTGCCGGACAAACGGGTACAATTTAAGTCACATTACGCTTTTCATCCTAATGTTGCGCAGACCTTACCGGTCAAACACCGGTATTTACTGGCTATCTTGCTTTTTTTTTTACTATCAGAACAAAACCTGACAAGATTTTATTCGAAGTCATTTTGGACAGATAGTAAACCTCATCACAGTAACACAGACTTGGGACTCTTATCAGCATCAAGGCTTTTAATTGGACGTATGTGAAGCCATGCATCAGACTGACGGCTGACGGGATGAATGACGAGCTGTGAACTGCACTGTTACCAGACCTCGTTCATCACTTGTCAGCACCTGTAATCTGTAAGATACAGATGCAGATTATTATTCCTCCTGAGATGGTTAAGCAGAGGAGGAGGGTTTGCACTCCTGCTGTTCAGCTACCCAAATGTCTTCTAAAGAGAAGAAGAAAAAACATTTTTCTTGGTTTTAAAAGTTTTCTCGGTCTTCCAGATCTTGTCTTATCTTCCACAGTTAACTGGAAACTGTGAGCTGGAAATGCTTAGATATTTTTATAGCCTTCTCCTGATTTGTAGACATCAATTCGCTTCATTTTTAGATCCTCAGCCTCATAATTCTTGACCTGCCTTCACTTGTCTTAATGAGAGAATTAAGGCCTTATGGGTTCAATAAGTTCGGAAACTTTACAACTGGAGGGGCTTTATCACATTTTTATCTTTTATCTTTTAATTTTTATCTTAATCTTCATTTGGACTGGTCCAGTGTGACTTTTCCTTTTTTTGTTATGTCATTACATTGATTATGATGACTTGGTACAATTACATCATCTAAACTGCTTATCCTTCTGGGTCGCGGTGGGGTGCTGGAGCCTATCCCAGCTGTCATTGGGTGGAAGGCAGGATACACCCTGGACAGGTCGCCAGTCCATCGCACGGCAGACAGACAGACATACACAGTCACACACACTCACACCTAGGGGCAATTCAGCATGTCCAATCAGCCTGACTGCATGTTTTTGGACTGTGGGAGGAAACCCACGCAGACACGGGGAGAACATGCAAACTCCACACAGAAATGACCCTGGTCACCCGGCCGGGAATCAAACCCAGGCCATTCTCGCTGTGAGGCGACAGCGCTACCCACTGCGCCACCGTGCCGCCCCTGACTTGGTACAATTATGATTTTTAATTATTATTCTTATTTTTATAAAACATGCTGACAAAACAAAGTATTTTCTGAACTTTGAACACTTAAAGCATTCAAAGGGTTCTTCAATTTGTCATTGTTCAATATAAACTCGCTGTATTTGCTAAAGAACCCCTGAACTCTGTTTTCTTTTTTTAGAGTCTAGCCTTCCCGCTCAGGATTTCTCTGACTGAGTCTGAACTTATGCTAACAATGCACAAAAAGGGAGCTTATGAAACACTCGTGCCTTCACTCTGAATGCGGTCAGCCAGGCCTGATTCGTAAACAAGCCGCTCTAATCCATAAATGACCACACTGGCTTTCCTTTCGGTTTCCTTCTTCTTCAAGGGAAGAAAAAAAGCCTTTACGTTCTCCCTCGAATTCACGCCTCGGTTGAGAGCCATGGTTCAAAGCCAGTTAGCATGTTGCATAACATGATTAAGACACATGTGTGCAAACACGCCATTAGAGTGAGGAAAGAATGGAAAAAAACCATGGCGGATTATGTCTTTCTCCACCACAAATACGCCGGCCTCCACTACTTCATCCCTACAGGGCACTGGAAGGTGAGACTAGGGGTTATTAATCAGTCTAAACAAGGCAATGGGCCTATTATTTGGTGGCGAGGGGGGGTGGTGGCTTTGTTTTGGCCCGCTCTCCCTCATTGATCTCCGTCTGTGTGGCCCCATGGTGGCTCCTGGACGTTTCTAGGGGGCGAATGAGGGGTCAGGGAAGAGCTGCGTGCTGAGCATCTGTTCCAATAAGCGAACTTCACATCTTCATTAATATACTCGCTGACCCTCTGACTCCTATTTTGTGTATCTCCTTCCCGCAGTCTCATTAAAACTACATCTGACTGCCGCTGATGTTCGCTATCAGATCAATCACTCTCCCACCCATCTAATTATCCTCCTTCCACGCCACTCTGGCTCGGAGACATATTAGTCAACGACACTGGTAAATTAATGATGTCACCGTCCAGCATCTGCTCAAGGGGACAGGCCTGGCGAGGCTTCATTTTGCTGAGAGTCTCAATCTTTCACTGCGCTTTAAACGGACAGGAGTCTGTCAGTAGAACAGATCTATCACAGGAATGGGGGGCCTCTTAGCGGCACTGCACTGAAAACTGACAGAGAGGCTTTGAGCCGAGCTTTTAGAAGGCCATGGAGACAGGACATTAGAAGTAGACCGATCAGGCATAACGTTATGACCACCTCCTCGTTTCTACGCTCATTGTCCATTTTATCAGCTCCACTTACTATATAGGTGCACTTTGTAGTTCTACAGTTACAGACTGTAGTCCATCTGTTTCTCTGATACTTTGTTAGCCCCCTTTTACCCTGTTCTTCAGTGGTCAGGACCCCCATGGACCCTCACAGAGCAGGTACTACTTGGGTGGTGGATCATTCTCAGCACTGCAGTGACACTGACGTGGTGGTGGTGTGTTAGTGTGTGGTGTGCTGGTCTGAGTGGATCAGACACAGCAGTGCTGCTGGAGTTTTTAAGCACCTCAGTGTCACTGCTGGACTGAGAATCGTCCACCAACCAAAAATATCCAGCCAACAGCGTCCTGTGGGCAGCGTCCTGTGACCACTGAGGAAGGACTAGAGGATGACCAACACAAACTGTGCAGCAGCAGATGAGCTATTGTCTCTGACTTTACATCTACAAGGTGGACAGACAAGGTAGGAGTGTCTAATAGGGTGGACAGAGAGTGGACACAGTGTTTAAAAACTCCAGTGGAAGGATGGACAGAAAGACCTGTGGATGTTTTCAGATCTGAAGCAGCTTGATTTTCTCCTCTCTCTCAGAGATGAAAGCTTTAAGTGCTGTTTATCTGATGGGGGCAGATTTGGAGTCTACAGGTCTTCCAGGTGGTTGTTAGGAGCCCCAGTTTCTCTGCAGCTTTTAATCATTTGTTTAACGCCAGTTTTGGAAACTGTTTTTTTCACCCATTTTCCTTTAACTTTTCCATTACTATGCAAGTGGATTATCATATCTAACCTGCTCAGAAATGCCTCCTGAAACATGAACAGCTTGTTCTTAATGGTTGTTCTGACTGGAAATTAAAGAAATAAAGGCTGCTCTCTGACTTTTGCACTGTACTGTAAGCATGAAGGAAGGAGAGAAATTACACCACTACAGTGTGGCTTCTCATTGACTTGTATTGATTTCTCCTGTATGGTATATGTGGGTGTTTCAGTGTGTGTTTAAGGCAAGAATTAAAATGCTGATGTGGAATTATTGAGATATTGTTCTAGTTTAACCCCTTAAAATCCCAGGCTTATTACATACTAAGGCTTATTATTCAGTAACTACAGGGACTTCTATGCAAACTGGCTGAGCTATTCTTAGGTTATAGAAGTGTGTAATAAAACCTTTGGCCCTGACCATTTACGGGGTTACGAAGAAACATGAAATGGAGATAAACAGAATATTTTTCATTGAAATATATAAAACTTACAGAAAGTGACACTTTTGCACTGTTAGTAATGAAGGTTCTGTGCAGGTACATTTCTCGTTCATCAAGGTACAAACAATATAAATGTTCCCTCAAAGGTACAACAGTGGTTTTAAGGTCTGATTGTGCACCTTAAATCAGTTTTTCCAGGTGAAAAGTTCGTATTTGTACCTTTTCATAACCGAATGTTGTAAAACAGACCAGTAAAATAAAAGCCTGGAGACGAGACGGGGTGTGTGGAGTCAGTACAGCTTAGACAATATCATTTCAGTGGATTGGGTCAGTTATGTTCCCTGACTAAAGGTACTGAGACGTACCCTTGAGGGGACCACCCCAGTGAAAAGAGAGGCACTGCCCCAGTGATTAGTACCTTTATTTCTGAGAGTGTAGACCAAAGACTAAAACAAGTCAATGAGAAAATTGGACACTGTATCCAAACTATTGGACAATTATAGCATAAACATATCTTAAATCCTTGCCTTACCTCATACTCAAGCTCCTCTCTCTCCATATCTTGATGCATGCCCTCTAGGAAGTCATTCGGGTCGAAGTATTCGTGTCCAGGAGAGTGTCTATGAAAACAATATTACACCCATAAAGACATGGAACAAAAAGCAGCACAGCTACGCCTTCTTTCAAAGCTTCAGAAGGCTTTTTTGTTGTGATTAATCAATTTCTTTCATGACACCTCATTACAAATGTTTCTGATTAAGCTGCGTCTTTCATTCCGAGCTCCTTCCGTTCCCCGGCGACAAAGTAGAAACTCATTTCGCAAAGCGCAGATTCATTTTTCATTCTGAAATAATGTAATACCAACGGAACACGTGACCGTGTGAAAGCTCTCTTTAATTAAACTTCACCTGAGCGCAGAATTCCGCGCTGACGAATAAATTAATGTTCTGCAGTAGCAGAAAAAAGGCGGCTAATCAGGTGAAAATATCAGCGTAAACGATGAATCGGAAACGCGAGAGCTGCAAGAGTTGCAAAATCAATTATAACTTTATCAGCCCTGACCAGCGAAGGAGAAGCCGTGTTGCCTTTAATCTGCATGAGGAGCGGAGCTTTAGGCCACAGCAGAGAGGAGGAAGGACAGACGCGAGAGAAAACGCAAACCAGAGTTAACAAGAGCTGCTTAATTCTGTTCGGTGCCCTCGGCTCTACTGAAGTACGTGTGTTTAAGTCCAGCTGCTTTGCAGAAGGCACTCAAGACTTCTAGTGTTAATGAAGACACTAACGAGACAGCGTGAATGACTGGAAGTGCTTCTCTGTCTGACAAGTCATGCTACACAATTAACCACTGAAAAGAAATACGGGTGGAAAAGACATCGCTGTCTGTGGGCTACGAATAAATAAACATATACAATACTTAATAAAATATACACCGATCATAACATTATGACCACCTCCTTGTTTCTATGCTCACTGTCCATTTTATCAGCTCCACTTACTATATAGGTGCACTTTGTAGTCCAGCACAACACACACTAACACACCACCACCACATCAGTGTTACTGCAGTGCTGAGAATGATCCACCACCCAAATAGTACCTGCTCTGTGAGGGTCCATGGGGGTCCTGACCACTGAAGAACAGGGTAAAAGGGGGCTAACAAAGTATGCAGAGAAACAGATGGACTACAGTCTGTAACTGTAGAACTACAAAGTGCTCCTATATAGTAAGTGGAGCTGATAAAATGGACAATGAGCGTAGAAACAAGGAGGTGGTCATAACGTTATGTCTGATCGGTCTATTTATGCAACGAATACAGCAAACAGAAGAGCCCAGTACCAGTAATAGCCTTAGATCTGCTGCCAGAGGAGTTACAGTGCATGCACGTTGGCCACTGTTAAATGGATCAGCATGGAGAATCAGAGCTTTCTGTGAGCTACTGTGTTTATCACTGTATAAAAGATGCATGAGCCTCCTTTATTATTGGATTCAATTAAGTAGTTTCTTCTGAGTGAGCACACAAATAGCTAACACAGGCTTCCTCCGAGACCTGTGATGCACCACCGCATCTTTTCAAACTGCTGCTAACGCAACGTCACTGGACAGCTGAACGCGCTCGGAGCAAAGCGCCAACTGCCAACTCTGTTACATCAGCTAACAGACGCCTGCACTGACTAGCATCCCACTGAATGATGGGGGGGAGAGGGCCCCATCCTACCCGAAGCCAACTGTGCTCTCTTGGACTCTCGGCCACGGACGGCTGCAGCATCACCAGGGATCGAACTTGCGATCTCCTGATGACAGGGTTAATGCTTAGACTGTTGATTTTTATTAGTTGATTTCATTTTTCTTACACCACGAGGGCTAAAAGACCACAGAAAACATACTAGATCAATACCAGTACTTTCTAACAGCCAAACTTGCACAATAATCAACACTGTTTACTCTTTAATGGGCCATAAAATTGCAACACAGATCAGCCAAAATAAAAACAAACTGGCCGATTGTTGATGTAGTATTGATTCTGAATGTACATCCCAAGTTTCAAACTATATCTTAGTTTAAGACTTAACAACGCTGTCAGAACAAAACCTTGTATCTCCAAAAAAGCACCTTTACAGGAGGAGGAAAAAATGTTCTTAACTTTTAATGGAAGAAAACTGGAAAATTATTTATTCCAAATAACTTTGGACCGTTTCTGTTGATCCATTCATCATGGGATTTAGCCAGAATATAAAGGGCTTAGAAAGTCAAAAAATGGGAAACAATAATAATAATGGAGATAAGTGGTTTTGTGCTGGCTGCAACAATAAGCAAGTCTAGTGAGCACAGCAGTTTGTGTCCTAGTCAGATTTCTGCGTGACCAGGTAAACCGAACCATCCACGCCCCATGATTTTTTCACTACTGCTAGAATGGACCAGCTTGAATCTTAAAGTCAGTGTGAACTGGAACTCATAACTCATTTTCCTTTCGCACTGTGACATATCTGTAGGTATCAGAGAGGGTCTCTGAGCCAGCTGAGCGTTCTCTCGCCATGGTAGTCGGGGGGAGGGGAAGGGAGGTTAAACATGATATTATTAGGTAATTATTTTTCCTCAGCCACTGATGCACAGTGATATAATCATCAGATGATGTTTTAGAGACGGAGCCACAGCCATTATATTTTGATGAAAGACTACAGGGAAATAAGAATTTTGTCTTTCAGTTGAAATGATAAGATTGTTTGTGCGTAATTTGACCAGGGACATGAACTAACAAAGTTCAGGTGGACATTAAGAGCATGTTTAGGTTCATCGTTCAGAAAATGATACACTGTAATATTTCGGTTCAGGTTGTAGTGCGTTTTCATTAAAACTACTTTTAAAATGATTTTTAAATTATGTGAAATGTCACAGTTAGATCAGGTTGTGCCAATCAAGGTTTTTAGTGATAATCAGAGGACGGAGCTGAAGGTTCAGCAGCCTCACCTGTTTAACCTTGCTAACAAGCTGAAGTCATAGCTTCCACCACTTGCTACTCCAGCAGCATGGCTAAAGCTTTGCTGGCAACACTTGTACTTGCCACATGGACTGACATTACAGCAGAAACAGAAAGCTTGAGCTGCTGCCTCAAGCTATGCCAAGCTGGAGACAGACAAATAGAGGCTTAAATCTGAACTTAATGAAAAATAAATAACCACAAAGACTCACAAAGGGAACCACAAAGAGATGATTCAGTCAAGGATGCTTGCTGTAGCTGTAAATTAGGCAAAATTACATTTCAAAAAATACATTCAGTCTGACTTAACTGGGGGATTTTTCACACTGTTACACATACTTCACTTGGAAGATGACCTAGACAATGACCACTGATGACCAAGACAAATGATGGTCACTGATGACCAAGACAAATGATGGTCACTGACAACCAAGTCAAATGATGATCACTGATGACCTAGACAAATGATGGTCACTGACGACCTAGACAAATGATGGTCACTGACAACCAAGTCAAATGATGACCACTGATGACCTAGACAAATCATGATCACTGACGACCTAGACAAATGATGGTCACTGACGACCTAGACAAATGATGGTCACTGACGACCAAGTCAAATGATGATCACTGACGACCAAGTCAAATGATGACCACTGATGACCTAGACAAATGATCACTGACAACCAAGTCAAATGATGACCACTGACGACCTAGACAAATGATGATCATTGACGACCAAGTCAAATGATGACCACTGACGACCAAGTCAAATGATGACCACTGACGACCTAGACAAATTATGATCACTGACGACCAAGTCAAATGATGACCACTGATGACCTAGACAAATGATCACTGATGACCAAGTCAAATGATGATCACTGATGACCAAGTCAAATGATGACCACTGATGACCTAGACAAATGATCACTGACGACCAAGTCAAATGATGACCACTGATGACCTAGACAAATTATGATCACTGACGACCAAGTCAAATGATGACCACTGATGACCTAGACAAATGATCACTGATGACCAAGTCAAATGATGACCACTGATGACCTAGACAAATGATCACTGATGACCAAGTCAAATGATGATCACTGATGACCTAGACAAATCTTGATCACTGACGACCAAGTCAAATGATGACCACTGATGACCTAGACAAATGATGATCATTGACGACCAAGTCAAATGATGATCACTGACGAGCAAGTCAAATGATGACCACTGATGACCTAGACAAATCATGATCACTGACGACCTAGACAAATGATGAACACTGATGACCAAGTCAAATGATGACCACTGACGACCAAGTCAAATGATGATCACTGACAACCAAGTCAAATGATGACCACTGATGACCTAGACAAATGACGATCACTGACGACCAAGTCAAATGATGACCACTGATGACCTAGACAAATGATGATCACTGACGACCAAGTCAAATGATGACCACTGATGACCTAGACAAATGATGAACACTGACGACCAAGTCAAATGATGGTCACTGACAACCAAGTCAAATGATGACCACTGATGACCTAGACAAATGATGATCACTGATGACCTACATAAATGATGATCACTGATGACCTAGACAAATGATGATCACTGATGACCTACATAAATGATGATCACTGATGACCTAGACAAATGATGATCATTTGCAGAATTAATGTGATAAACGATGTCAGTGTGAATCAAATTCAGTCATGAAGTATCATAAGTGAGCATTACAGAGCTTCACCCAGTTGGTCTCACTGTAATATCAGTTAATAATTTATAATAACTATATTCTGCACAATGTAATGCAACACAATATGTTACATTCAGTAAATAAACAGTAATAGTGCATTCAAATGTGAGGACGTTTTCATTTATTTTCACTTTGTGACAAAACATGTAATTTGATCAGAGTGTCAAAACTTTCCCTGATTATATTTCATTTGGCACTTAAAAGAACAATACTTTGCAGAATTATTATTGCATTATTTAATATATTAATGTCTTGCCCAAAGTTGCTAATATTACATACAGAAAATTATTATTATTTTTTAAATTAATAGCACCCTCCATATTTAGGTAGAGCATTTTTACAAAAACTGGTGATGCCCCACAAAGCCAAATGTGATTTCTGCCTTATTTTTGGGTAAAGCTTGTCCAACCTAACAACAGCTTCTACACCTTTTGCTGGAGTTTGAATAGGTAAATTACTGCCACTCACCCCTCTGGCAGCAGGTATTGCTCCAGTGCAGGTGGACTTGAGGCAGGCAGCTTGCTGAGGGCCATGATGTGCTGGAAGGTGATGTCAGTCTGAGTGCTGATGTCCACCACCTGCGTGTCCCCGTCTGGGGCTGGTTTGGGTCTGGGCACCCTGCGTAACACCTGCACCATGATGGGCTCTTTGGCTGTGCGGAAGGCCTCCACCGCCTGCTCATGGGTTGCCTTGGACAGATCTTTGCCATTGACCTGCAGATAGAGGGACAAACAGAGTGGAAAGGTTTGTTAAAGTTGAACTGACGCTCTGCTAAGAGTGGAGTACGGCTACCATTACCAGTTAACTGTTATTGTGTTGTTGGCCTTGGAAAGCTATTAGCATGAAAGGCTGCAGTGAGACTCATTAATGCGAATTATTTTGATCAAATAATGCAACTCATTCTTTCTCACACCAGATTCACCCCTGTTTGAATATGTTGGAAGGCAAATGGTAATTTACCAAGACAAAAGTGTGTAGCCAGCTCTAGTGTGGAGGCATTGTGGGACTGAAGCATCGTACCAAAGCCAACAATGACAATGAGATGTAGATCGTAACCAGTATCAACACAGGTATTTCAAGAGGTGGGAAAAATAAATGATTCTTAGATGCACCAAGATTGTCTTGAAAGATTCTGAATTAATTCACAAAACACCATAATCATATTTTTATATAGGCTCTACTTCCTTTTCAGGCAGTAAAATAAATGTTTTAACACAGCCCAGATTGAAGGAGGAGAGACACAGCAAGACCTCATGAATGTACGTTTGGGTCTCAGTTTTCACGTATATGAAGTAAAACGCCCGAACCATAGTAAACATACACTGCATAAAAAACATGGCTTTGTTTAATAACCAGCTGAGGAGACCAATAACAGGCCAATCCAGTAATATTCAGAGTTAGGCTTCATATATTTAAATATTTATTGAAGGACTGACTGTAAAGCTGCAGCATACAAAGTTGAAATCATGCTGCAGCTTTACAGTTAATCCTTTAATAATCATTTACTTAACTAAAGCCTAACTCTGAAAATGAAAACAAAATGAAAACAATGGAAAACAACTCTTTAACATGTAAAGTGTGTACTGTGCACATTTAGCAGTCTAGGGTTCATCTAGCAGGGGGCACTGTTAGTCCGCAAGTGTGAAGAAACAGTCATGAACCCACACCAGCAGGAGCTCAAGAATGTCTGTGTTTTCAGTGACAACTTACAAAATAAGATTTTTATTTACCCCTTACCAAGTTTTATTACACACTTCTATAATCTAAGAATAGCTCCATTAGTTTGCACTGAAGTCCCTGTAGTTACTGAATAATAAGCCTTAGTATGTAATAAGCCTGGAAAGTTAAGGGGTTAAAGATTCTCATTAACTCAGTTAATATAAAACGGATATAAGCATAAAGAACAAAAAGATCAAATAAAGGACAAATAGATCTAACACAGTGTAGTCAGATTAGATGGTGAAACAAGACTTAACAAGTGCACAGAGTTTAGGCTTCATTCAAATTCAACTAAGCAACCTAACAGTACTTCACAAAAAACAGGAGAAAATTATAATGCAGGCTAGAGAAAAATGTTCTGACTGCAGCTCGGCACAGTGAATCAAAGTCAAATCGAATCCAATCAAGAGGCGCTTAGAAATTCTCCCCCAGTGTCGACACACTCTACTTAAGGTATGCAAATTTGAGTGTTATTCCAGCTCTGACTTCAATGCACAAGCAATTTGTTTCAATCGTTCAATATTTAGGAGTCAGTCATTTTTCCCAGCACTTTATATCACGATGAGAAACAGAACTAAAGCCCCCTTTTTTACTCAGGGACCCTGCATCTGCTACGGAGACTGCTCGCTAAACAGTGGTTATCTCTTCTCTCGGATTCCTTCTGGAGAACAGCTGGTGTAGTCTCTCTCCTCTGAGCTCCCGGGAGCCTTTTTTCCACCTCAGCGGGCTCCTCTCTCTCCAGCAATCACGCTTCAATAGCAGCTCAAGAGCCCGGACGCAGAAAACACACATCCCTGGATAGTGTCGGCTCCAAAGAACAGCAATCTCTCCCTCGGCGGGAGATCTATTAGACCGGCAAAACTCACAAAACAGGAACTAGCCTCGCAGGCATAAAGTCAAAGACTGTAAAACAAACAATATACCGGCCGTAAAGTGAAGGGCGATACTGTACACTCTACGACTGCCCAGAGGGTTATTTGGTCCACTTTCCCATAACTGGGGATGCTGGACTGCCTATGCTGTAATGTCAATGGGGCAATCATTCCTCGCTGTTGCTTTTAAGGGTCAGGGCGAGATGCAGGAGAATGTTAATTAGAATGAGCCTGCTTGCTAATTAATCAGGCTCGTTAGGCAAACTGAACCACACAGAATCGGGTACGGGGTGTTCAGATGGAGGACTAGCAAGGCAACTTTAGTGCCAGGATATTATGGAGCTACCACAGGAGATTATCTGAGCTCAATGTGTTAACCTGTGGAGATTAATATGTGCAAGAGGTCCAGAGAGAGTTAATTACACGACGGATCTGGAGATGGAGGATGTAAAAAGGAAAATAAGGGAATGGTCCAATGTTTCTGAGCAGAAAGAAGATCTTTCTTTTAACGTTTTTTACTTACATAATTTGAAGATTTTTCATATTGTGTTAAATCAATATGATGAATGCACCAGAGGAAAGGATCCAAAATTACTTGGAATAAAAGACGTTAGTATTGACTTCAATTGCTAGTTAATGGGGAATTCCACTGATCTTTCTAATTTTGTGCATAATTAATTTGCTAAGATGTAAACAGTCATTCAGAGTGGTTTGATGTGAAGCGCTGCATTCTCAAGAGACTTGCTCACAGTGGTGGTGATGGAACCAGACGTCTGAAAAGTTTAATGCCTCTAAATACTCCCTCTCAAAAAGTTATACACGAAATGATTATGAATGTTGATGCCAGTGACGTTGTTTTATAAGGTTTTGGCTTAAAATTATTTAAAAAAAAAAAAAACATGCATTCATATACAGTTCCCAAAGAAAACTTTTTTTTAGGATTTATCACAATTTTTCTGTTATGAATATTACAACACAGAAGACACGTGTAGGTTCACTGCTGGTTTTGGATAGTAAATAAAATGGCTATGTTTGTGTTGTAGTCATGGCAACCCCTGGTTACTATCACACTGAATGACTTTGTTTACATATCAAAGATTTAATTATGCAGAGAAAATGCTCAGAAAAGCGCATCACCATTAATCATTGCCCACATATTAAATACTACACTGAGGATATCTGAAGTGTTTTATGTTTATAAACAGACATAAAACAGACATTTTTACCATCAACATTAATATAAAACGAGGATTCACTGCTGGTTTTAGGTATTAAATGAAAAGGCTATACTTGTGTTGTAGTCATGCGATCCCTGGTTCCTATCAGCACCACTGTAAAGAAATCTAATTATAATTATATCTAATTAATTATAATTATATCTAATTATAAATTAGTAATTATGTTTCTCTACAGTGAACCATTTCACATAAAAAAAACCTGCCTTTGTTTACATCTCACATTGTGTAGAAAACACAAAATCGGTGGAATTTTCTGTAAAGTTTCCATTTTGGATCTATAAGGTCGTTCAGGCAGTGACGATGCGCACGTTACGAGCTGTGTGTGATCATTTAGTCTTTTGTATAAGTTTAGATTAGAGGGAAACACCTTGCGTCCGACTACATGCCTGGAATTATCAGAGGAAATAAAACACCTTGCTGTGTTAAGCTGTAGCTTAGCTAGCTTCATTAAGGTGCTAAAGCGCCGGAGGCTATGTTAGCGCCGCTGCTAGCCGGGCATTAAACCCAGGGTCAGCCGTCTCTCTTATCGCAGTGCTAACAGAGCTTTTCCCTCCACGCCGGCTTCAACAGCCACGGCATTCCCAATTTGTTCATTTGTGATTCCTGGACGAGAGTCAGCCTGATAGGATCTACGCCTGGGGAATTCATCCAGACAGACACAGCTTACAGCCACGAGGCTGAGCAAAGGAAGAATGTCTTTTCCAAAACGGGTGATGAAACTGGTGCAAATATGTAGGAAATATGTAGGAGTGATGCAACCAAAGAATATATGTCATTTACCTAGACATGGATGGTCTACGGTGGTTTCTTGGACGAACAACGTGCTCGCACATATCCCAACCTCCAATTTGGGAATTCATTTTCTGATATGCGCATTCCCTCTGATACCAGTCTTATCAGGGATTTCCGCGTCTGACCACATAAACAAACCGTCCCTCAAGGGACGCAAGGAGTGTCACCCACGCTCGCCGTATTCCGCGGCCCGTTTGAGGCTAGTCTAGAACCTCTGGCCTCTTAAAACTCTCAAATCCCCAGCTTTGGTAATGAGAAATCTGAGGACGTTAATAAACTGATGAGGATATTCCAATGGAAGATATCAAAAGAGACAGCGAAGTGGACGCTCAGTAGGGAGCGGTGCACTTCAACTTTGAAGAGGTTATGTGATCGTTAATAACCAGAAAGGATTAAGCCTAATCCTGTCCTGAAGGATAATTGGATCATCCGAAATGAGCTCGACTTCAACTTCGGAAACGTCAGAAGTCGGAACGACCCAGGCTAAAACGAAGTAAGAGCTTTCAGAGATTTGCAATTTGCACTCAGTGATTGAATGCAGAACAGTCAGAAATGCAAATTCATCACAAACCCTTTGAAAAGTTGAAGAGAGAAGAAATGAACAGGCTAATAAGGCCAGTTTACCAAAACGACAAGCCACAGGCAGCAAATGTGATTTCACTGTGTGCACCAAAATTGGAGAGCTACCATAGAAGAACCACATTTAGTTCTATAAATAATTTTTTATGACTTTATTTGAAGAGGGATTTCATAATACAAGCTTAAGCACTGAATAACATGCTTAACACAGAAGAACCTCTACATTATGTGGAGGTTCGTTAGACTAAAATAGTTCTTCACACTTACATTTCATTTCTAATCAATGTTCTTTAAGAACCACCCACTGAAAGATTCAGTAACACTTCATCTGGGACTCATGAACGAGCACTGATTAATGTATTTATAAAGCAATATTTACAGACTCTTCGTGCCAGTAATTGAAAGATATATTCTTAACTAGATTTCTGGCTTATAAATTCCATTACTTGGGAATTCTGATTCACAACAGAGTTATAAGCAATAACAGCAAGAAACTACGGAGAAACAGACATT